CGAATGTGAAAATTTTCCATGTCATCACTGGGTGATTGAGAGGGAAACATTCATGATTGCACCGCAAGATGATGAAGAGCCTAGGATAATGCCAAAGGCTCTAGTCCCTTGTTTTTAGAAATTGGATCAATGTTGCACAGTTTAAGACAAAGTCTTTGAGGATTAACCATTTCTATAATTTGGTTGAGTTTCCATTATGACGCGAAATTGTTCTAAAGTTATGCTCAATTTTGATAGTTATTGTTGAGGCATAAGGCTTGCTAGATACCGAAAAGTTGCACCATTGAGGAAGGTGTAGACCATGAGAAGACTTTCTCCTGGGGAGTGGGGTTATTTCAATTTAGGCTATGATTGACATAAGTTTGGAACATTGATTTGTGGACATTGTGACCCAACTTCTCGCTAGAGAATTAGATAAGTAGATCCGTAGGGATTTACCTTCTACTTTTATGGTGAAAAGTTAGAAGCGCAAAAAGGTTGCTAGTTCCAATAAATCTTTTATAGTCTAAAACAGTTATCCAAATAGTGGTTCTTAGATTTCATTTAGCCATGATAGGCCAATGATGATCGATGAAGACCACTAAGGCATGATCAATGGTCCAAAAGAAGTTTTTCTTTACTTAGTCATTATGAGCTAGGAATTTATAAGGTTGTCGCCACCTAGGGTGGGCAGTCCTCTGTTTTAGATATGATGGATATGGGTGAAGTAATTTATATGCTCGGATGTACGATCCTTAGGGATTGTTTTGGGAGAATTCCCAGTTTGTCTTTGATGACTTACGTAAGGAATATCCTAGAATGATTCTAGATGCAAAATTGCAAACCTATTGACTTACCTATCGGTAAAAGCCAGAGCCTTAGCTATTGAGTGAATCCTTGGATTGTCTTTGAGAGAAACATATAACCTATATTCCTTGATCTTTTTTGTTGTGGGAGGCTAAAGTACGCTATATGGGTGTATTCGGCATAATGTGTGTTATCTTTGGTAAATGATCAACTGAGTAGTTTAGACATTGACCTTGCTCATTAGACTGTGGATAGAATGCTTTACTAGTAGTATACAAATTTGCTCCTTGTAAGATTCAATTTGCTAGTTGGGCACATCTTGAATGAACGCATATTGGTCACCAAAATATCTTTAGAGAGGTAATTGTGCCAGAGGAAGTGATCTTGAACCACTTCATATGAGGCGCACATGGTGGATTCCGTTGTACACGCTTATCGCAAGAGGTGCTGATAAAGTTTATGATTGGAATCTAGAATTGCGCAGACTGTGGTCGCGTTTTTTAAAATCGATCACTTATTTGTTGTGAGATGATGGGATGTTAACACTATTATGGTTTGTGTCATAATGATTAGCAGATGATGATGTCAGCAGGCAAGATTGGCTTACTCACACGAGCAATCGCCCTTGGCGCTTGGGAGCGAGAAAGGATGAGACTAGTGGTTTATTTTTATTTAAAGCCAAGAGAGGCTTAAATTATCCACTATGTATGTCGCCTTGGTTACAACCAAGATGAGGTCGTGTTAAGGACCAAACATGGATGTTAGTACCCACTTTCCATGTTGTGCCTGTTATGATTAGCTAGATGCGAGATCTCATTTGGCGTCTGGAAGGCGAACAAATAGAGAATTTGGGTTAGGCGATAGAAAGCAACTAGACTAAGATTTGTACGGTGTATCGAGTATGATGTCACTCTTTGGAAGAGTTACTCTATCGTAGCATGTATTCATACTACATGTGCTTGGTGACCTAGTAATGAGGTAAGAGAATGGATCCCTATTTTCTCACCGTGTGAGTCTTACGTGTCATTATTGATATGATTTTCATTTATGTGCCCTTTTGTGACTTTTGGCTATGTTATAAGGTAAGGGGTTGATGTTCTGCTACTTTGGCATGTTGCCTGCAGTCATGTATGATTCGGCCTTAAGGGACATCACTAGAAAAACGGTCAATCCTAAACTAAATGACATGAGAGCAAAGGGAAGATCATCTAGTATTACACCACTGTTGTATATTCACTGTCGACAACTCACATCGCTTTGTATGATAGGTGGATTGAGTGTGAATATATTGCAAGAATTGAGAGGGTCAAATATGCTCTTTTGAGGGATTAGAGATGTTTTTTGGACCAGTGTAATTAGATGGGTCTGGGGTATATGAGACACTATTTTTATTTTCAAGTTGATGTCTCTATGCTGGCTCGTTTTGAGTTCTAGTATAGAGCTCCCATATACAGGTGTTTCTCAGCAGTCGCATAGTTCATTAGCTAGTATGAGATTGTTAAATATTTGGGAAGATTAAGATAGAGATGTGGCAGTGTCATGCCAACTCATGTGCG